AAACCACCGAGTCATGTTGTTATCATAAATGCGTAAACCATAGGTGTGGGAAATAGAATGAAAAGAGCTTGGGATTTGGAATCAGAAATATCTAAATTCATGCATCAGTTCACATCTCCTTCACAGGGTGCTTCTAGAATGTTACCCTCCTGAGGCCTTCAGACCTTCTTTTGTCACCTGAAAAATGGGTCACTAATAGCACCTTTCTCAGAGGATTGATGTGAGGATTAAATCAGATGAAACACATGACAAAGGCTTTGTCATCCGTCATGTGTTCTGGCAAACGTCAGGTGCTATTACCTTTAGGCATGCTGACAGATTTAGACAGCTTTCAAAAGAAAATGAAAAGAGAGAAAACTGGTTTATATTGATTTGCTTCCGTGGTAAAATCAAACCCAAAGCTTTTTTTAAAAAAAAAAGTTTTAAAGAACTTGAAAGCCCTTAGGAGAAATAACAGCTGTTGGAAGAACACTTCCCAAGTCTACCAAGCATTTGTGTCTTCTTGGAAATTTTGAAAGTTTTTGCTCATATGCTAACCAATCTCCATCGACAGCATGCCAGAGAGCTAGCAAACCTAATTCATCTTGATGCTGTGCAGGAAAATCACCTGAACAGAGCCTGGTTCCTCCTCCCTTGGGGCGGGCCACAGCAGTTGGCCAGACTGCAATTGGTCCAGGCTCTTTACCGGAGGGGCATTTAATGATGAAGGAGGATGCTGCTAAAGCCAGCCAGCAGGGACAGAGGAAGGGAAGAGAGAAATGTGGTCTAGCCTCCAGCAGGGCAGCAAAGACTCGGGACAGACAAGGAAGGGAGTGGCTGGCTGGGAAGGCGTTCACTGTCAGGTTCATAAGGAGACAACTAGGCTAAAAAGACATTTTCTGTGTTGACATCATACTGCAATGGAATGAAAAACCATAGCAGTCACTTTAGGGCCCATCAGAGGCAAGGATTAGAAATTTCAGAAGTCAACCCAGAAATCCTAGGGATTCAATGACGATGAAGTTTGAAGAAAAGCACGAGGACAATGGGAGCCTTGTAGGATGGAGTCAGCCATACCCGGGTGAGAAGCATCACACGAATGGGAAACCAGCAGCAAATGGGAAGGCTGAGGTCTGTGTAAAGCGGGAGACAAATGGGAAACACGACGTGCACAGGAAAAGCCTCAACATGTACACCTGGCAGGAGATCCAGAGACACAATCAGGAGGCTGACCAGTGGCTGGTAATCAACCGCAAGGTTTACGATGTTACCAGCTGGGCCGACAGACATCCAGGTGGGCGCCGGGTCCTCAACCACTATGCCGGGGAAGATGCCACGGTAAGGAACTCCTCCCTCCCTCACTCTCTCTCTCTCTTCCCCAGCTACTGGGTGGCTGAGATCTTGGCTCTCTTCCCAAAAGCATTCAAGTACGTGTTCAGGCTCCACATGATTGCTCGTCTCCTCCCAAACCAACTTTTTGGGATTCCAATGTAGCAAGAATTTGGAAGCAAATTAAGCCTCAAAGTCTAGCTATTACCTGCATTGGATTTGAAATGAGCTCAGATGTTGGCAGTGGGATACTATGTTTGTGTGTTGCGGGTTTTGTTTTGTTCTTGGTGTTTCGTTTTGAAGTGGAGTCACTGTCTTGTGAGAAGAAAGTTACAAGTAGGTAAGTAAAATCTGGGGGAAAAAAGTATCTGCATCCAAGTAGGAATGTCTCAGACTCTTTTAATTAGAGTGTCTGAAAGAAAGAAAGCAATTCATCCAGCGAACATTAAAATGCCCTTAACAATGATGAAAACCTGCAATTACCTAGGCTTTCAGAGTCTGCAGAGGTCTTTTTCATCCTGCATTCAGTGAATGCAGTTGATGCAACCACGTGTATGGACCCATTCAAATGCATCACCTCACTTAACCTTCCCAGGAGGAAGGTGAATATTATTCCCATATTACAGAGGAAAATCTGATGTTCAAAGACACAAATAAGAGCTGGTAAATCAACCAGGAAGAGATAATGACAAATTTTGAAATCAGGTTGTTTTGACCATAAAGCCTTCATATACCTGGACCCTTAAAAAATAAAATTTCCACTTAATATTAGATAAGGAGGTCTCCCAAACTCTTAAGCATACTTAGGGAACCCTTTAAAAATATTTTATAAGTAAATTTGTTTTATTTTAATTGTAAATTTTATCCTCCACATTTGTACAGATGAAGGAAGGTTAGAAGCACTAACTACTAACCCAGGGTCAGAAAATCAATATATGAGAGAACAGAAATTTAAACCCAGGCTTTGTTTTTACTTTGTCACTCCTGTTCTGTTGTTTTCACTGTTTAGCATATAACTTCTCCAACTGGTGTCAAGCATAATATTGAAAACACTGTTTTGATAACCATCAATCTATAAATGGTACTGCACTAATAATAGAATTCACAAATGCCTGGTACATTTGTAAAGAAAGCAAGATTTTGTCTTTTGTCACTGACGACGGCTTTTTCTCAGTTCCTCCAATTTCTCATCCCCCTTCTCGGCCTAAGTTCTTGGGCATTGACAATCTTCCTGTTTTGATTCTACAGTCAAATAAACGTGAACATACCCTGCTACATCCCCATCGCTTCTTTCTGATCTGATTTTTAAAAAAGACAAAGTTCAGCCTTTCCTTGGGAAATAAGCACGTGCCTGTAGCAAGGAATGGGAGCACCGTGCATGTCAGTAAGATAAACACTGTGTAGGCATCTAGAGAGCACAGTGGAGAGCATTTGTATGAGAATAACGGTAGAAAGATTAACAAATATGAAACAACAACAACAACAAAATGCTACAGGTCTCTATCTAGCTCATTCCCTCATTCCCACAGCTTAGAGAAAATAGGGATGAGGCTTTTCTAACTCAAGTCACAGAATTAGTTCAGAGGACGTGTTGACAAAGACATGGGCCTTCAACCAACTCAAAAATAATGGATAGCCTCACTCAGTTGGAGGCAGTCCAGACCATAAACACATAATTTGCTAATGATCTTTATCTCCCAGAAGTCAGGAAAAAAACATGATTCTGCATTCAACTCTAGGCAACAAGGAGGAATTGATTATTATAATAGAAACCATCAGAACCTTAGGGACAAATACTTGGGCCACCTTAGGATTCATATAGGTGCAGGATGAAAATCATAAGCTTGTCAGCCATATGTATTAGACTTTAGGGAAATGCATCCAAAAATATCCAGAGAAAAGGTGCTCTGAGGGAAGATGGCTCAAGAAGAAGGGGAGGGTGCCAGGAGAATCCTGACGATCACAATACTCCATGCTGCTCAGACTATGGGAGGCTGGGCTTTGGAATTGTTTTCGTGAACCTGAAAAAGTTATTGAAATGCTCTGAGTCTTAGCTTCATCATCTGTAAAATGGAAATAAGAATACCCATCTGACTAGTTTATGGTAAATAGAACTAATGCATAGTAAGTTTTTGGCATAATGCCAGACACTTGGCTAAAGTTTGTTAAGTTGTAGCTATTATTATTCATATCACCAGCATCTACCTCCTCAGAAATGTGATTACTACTTCCTGTTTGTTCACCGCTATCTTAGAAATCTTGATTACACTTGTGTCATCTGACTAGAAATTTTGATTACACTCGTGTCATTTGATTGGGAACAGAGGGCTATGCAATGGAGAAGCATCATGCTCTCTAGTGAAGGAGAGCAGAACACAACGTCAGAGCACCTGGGGTCAAATGCTCACCCTACAACTTAAGAGGTGATTGCAGGATGTCCCCAAGTAGCAAGTGCGGGCCAAAGTGCAGTCTCTGTGTGCAATTCCCAGAGAGGACACCTTTTCTTATTTACACAGGAACTCTTCTCCAGGCCTTTATCTTCCCTCATAAAAGGTGGATGATACCTAAGTAGTCCATTCAATGGGGTCATTCATTTCTTTATTCATGCACTAAGTTGTTCTAAAACCCTTGTCAAGGGCCCAGCCTACTGATTAATACAGGTTTGTGAATGAAATAGGTCTGGTTTGCATCTGGGCTTCACATTTACTACGAATGTTGCTTAAGTTCTTGGAGTCTCAGCTTTTTTCTCTAGAAAATGGGGATAATAATACCTTTACCTTACTATTGTTGTCAAAGTCAGTAGAGATAAAATGAAGTGCTCTTTATGGTGTTTGACATTCAAAAAAACAGCAGCTCTTATATTTTATTATTACTTCATTCTCTGAGATGCATTTTAATTTTCTCTAAGGAACTTTACTAAGAAAAATAAATCTACAAAACAAAATTGACATGTAAACTTCTGTTATTGCACATATGAATTATCTGGCTGCTTGTAAGCTATAGGACTTAAAGCTAATAAAACCAATGTCACAGTGCTAGTAACTGGAGTTTGGGCTCAGGTCTTGTCACTTGTAAGAGCTCACCCAGGAACAGCCAGAAACAACCTACAAGTCCAACAGAAAGTATTGATTATATAGATTAAAATATGATTACAATATGATGAACTATTTTGCAATCATTAAAATGAGGATTACAAAGTATTTTGATGACAGGAAATACATATGAATAGATAGCAACCATAAGTTCTATATAAGAAAACAGTATATTCTGAACTTCACGAAAGAAGTAAATGCAATCTTGTAATGTGTGCACAAAGGCAGCATGGTCTGAACAAAGCAAGCAGATTTATTATACTGTATGCAGGTCATTCCGGTCCTTATCTCTGGACACCATATTCTAGGAGAGACACTAAGAAATTCAAGTTCTTTCTCATGAGAGACAAAGGCCAACATGACAGGGAAGGGATGTCAAAAGCTTAGAGGAAATATGGCATAGTTCATTCCAACTATTTGGAAGACTGCTATGTGGAAGAAGGTAGAGTTATTTGGAACTCCAAAAGAGTGCATCCCAAGTGGTGTAGGAAGAACAGAGCCAACAGAGGCAAGGCTGGGGCAGGGGCAAGAGAGGATGTTACAGAGGTGCAGTGTAGATATGATTCACATCATGAGTAACAACCCAGCCAGAATAGGCAACCCAGCCTAGCCATTGCCTTTGCTTAGCACAACATTGGCCAAAAGTATGTGCTCAGTTAACATCAGTGACTATCATAGTGTGATGGTGAGAAGAGGGAAAGGCAGAGAAGTAATGAAGGGGAAGAGAAAAGAGGAGGAGAGGAGAAGAGATCTGGAGTGCTGAGCTAAGGAGTTTGCATTTTGCCCTCACTGGATGGCACTGTCCTCCCACTGACATAGTGATACTTCCCTAGCACATCATCCCTCCCCACCCTCATCATTACAACATCAACCAGCATTCCTCAACTGTGGGTGAAAAGAAAGTAATAATCAGTAATCATTGCATCTTTCCTGGGTTGTCAAAATGTTATAAATAATCTGATTCTCATGTGAATGATGGTCTAGCTGTAAAACAGGTAGAGGAGAGAGAGAAGGGAGTTCACGGGCTAACAGTTGACAGTGGGCCGTGAGGAGATGCTGCCTTTCTGAAAGGTCAGCCTGGCATTAAGTGAAGGCTGAAATGGAGAAGAGTTGGTCAAAATGAAGGAAGACCAGGATGGAGTCCAGGGAATGTGCTGATAACAGGAATGGAGAAGAGGGGAGGGGTGGGAAGGTTATTTAGGAGACATAATGCATAATATTTGATGAGTGACTGGACGACTAAGCAGGATGGAGTTGTCCAAAGTGACCTCTGGATATCTGGCTTAGACAACTAGGTGGTGATACCCTTTACAGGACAGGAAAGCCAGGAGGATATGTAGGTTTGGAAGGGAGAGTGGACACAGAGAGAGAGAGATTGATTGGCTGGAGCTTAGCTAAAAGCATCATTGAAAAAAAATCTCAGTACACGGAAAAGCTTCCAAGTGATGAAAGTTCTTAAACAATAACATGAGTTACAATGGAAAAAATAGCCCTCTGCTTATCCCTGTGGGTGGAGGGAAATCTAGTGTCTTCACATGAGCACTGTCTGCTCCAGAGCAGCTCTCTCCCAGGACAAGGGCAAAGGGTTCTCCCCACAAACTGACATATTCACAACTCATCCTCCATCTGAAATATGAGACTTGTTCTAGCCACTGCCTTGGAGAAGATAAGATCTGAAAAGGTAGCAGAATAGGATTTACCTAAAGGTGTGGGGATGGGAGATCTTCATCTGTGGTTTGGTATAGAATATCCTCATGAGTGTTTCTGAGGTGAGTAAATCAAGGTCTACATTCTAGTGACCTTGCTTTGTGACTACATACACACATTCTCCAAGGGTGTTTTCTAAACTTATGTTTGTTTCTTAGTAAACTTCTTTTGAGAAATTTCAACCCACTTCAGATGAACTAAGTAATAACAATAATATACAGTTGCTCCATTGATTGATGTCTGATTCCAAAGCCTAAGCTCTTAGCCACTAGGCTGGGTCCTCAATAAGTTTTAGAATGACTGAATAAATGAATAAAGGAATTAATGAGCCGATGGGGCCAACTAGGTAGTATTATCTACATTTAGGAAATAGAAAATGGGGCTTGGAAAAATTAAGTAATTTGTCCAATGTAAAACAGCCTATTCCTCTTCTGTACCTTAGTGTGAATTAGGAAAGGTAAATTCTTTGGGTGGTTGCAGCCCCGTTAGGCACAAGGTTTGGCAATGGAGTGTCTGCAGGATTTCAGCACACACTCGCTCTCTTGACTGGATGCCTTCATGCAGGGCACAACCTGTATACAGCATTTAAGTTGTAAAAACAGAATTTTTGTCTCAGGGCTTCTGACTTTACACGGTTTTATTTTCCACTAGGGGAAGAAAAGTACATATCATAATTTTCAAGATATTTGTGCAAGCAAAGTAATAATCACATTTTTTCTGTGTTAATACTGTTTTGGAAATAATCAGTTTAGAGATGAACTATGGTATAAATTTATGAATAAGCTAAACAGTAGAAATGACAATTGGAAAGGGAATCAAAAAGCCAACAGCTGAAAATGGGAAATGCTAAAGTAGCAAAAAAGTCAGAAAATAGAGATGCCAACAGTAGGAAGACACAGCAGCGCTTAACACCTCTTTCCTCTGAGCACAACACTTTGACGATCTCAGCTCCTCGTTACAGAAATGCTGTGTCCATCTCTTCACCCACCCTTTTCCTTGTTTATCAGACATTTGTTGATCACATGTCATATTCCAGGCACAGCAACAAGCACTAGGTATACATTAATCAATAATAGTACATGGTCCCAGTCTTCAAAAAACTCACAAGTACATGGATTCATTACAACATAATTTGAAAGGCTCTGGGAACAAAGTGTTATGGGAGCCCAGGGGTGGTCACGAATAACTTTCCTAAGTAAGGTAAGGGAGGTGATATTTAATCTGCGTCTTGGAGCGAGGAGGAGGTTTTAACTAGAGAAAGTGGAAGAAGGTAGTCAGGACAAAGGGAAACACATGGGGCGTGGAATGTTTGTTGAATGAGGAGACTCTAGTCAAGAAGAAGGTTCATGAAAGTTATGAAGGAAGGTAAGTCTGGGGAGGTAGGTTAGAGCCAGAAGAAAAGAAGACGCCATTGCCATCTGCCCAGCAGATACATACTGATTATAGCATCATCCCAAAACAATCTGGCATCAGTCCTTTCTTGGGTGGCCTTTCAGAAAAAGAATTATGCATGTTAAGGCTGGAATGGACCTTTATAGCCTCATGGCTTTAGAGTCACATACTCCTGAGTTCAAATCCTGGCTCTGCAACTGACTGCTGCATTTGGGGGCAAGACATTTCCTCCCTCTGAGACTCGGTGTCTTTATCTGCATAAGAGAAGCAGTGGAACCTCACAGAACTAAAGTGAAGACTGTGAGTTGGCCCCTAGAGCACTTTGTACATAGAAACACTATAATTGCTGGCACTGTCCCCTTTGCCCCTTCATTTTATCCCCTCTTCTTCCTGAATCATGACATACTTGCCCAAGAATGTTGGTAGCAAAACTTGTTTTCGTAGAACTTTCAAGAAGAAGATTTCACAACTTAGTAGTATCTAAATTCTAACAGGAAAAGTAGAACATTGTAAGACGACCTAAACTCCTTTGTCATATTGCCCGTTAATGCAATGAAAAGAGTTGTCCATAGCAGGCCAATGCCTACTATTCTGGAAAACTCTGTAGCTCTTCAGTATCTATTATCACAGTATTGACCTGTGGACCTTCCTGGGGATCAGAAAAAACTGTGAACCCAGACGGATATCATTGTCATCACACTGCTCCAGGACTCTAGACAGCTGTTCAGAGTCAGATGAAATTGCAATAGATCGCATTCTTCTGTGCCTTGATCTTGATCCATCAGATGTTTTCTATCCTAACCTGTTCCAAAACAACAAGCAGAACATGATTTTTCAGTATGGATCATCATGAGATGTTTTAATCACCTTCTTAGACACTGAATCACTCTCTTCCTAGTTAGGGAAACTAAGCTTTAGTACAATAGAATATAGAAATTTAAAAAACACCTTTGAAATTGGATAGTCCAACATTTCCCAAGGCAGACAGAGAAAGTGTGCAAAAGCAGAGTGAACTGTAGAGCCTGTACTGGCTCTAGCAGACCAAAGCCCTTCTCCCATAATTACCTCCAGAGACCCTTAGGTGAAGTAAGTTTAAAGAGCTGATATTGAACCTTTCTAATTAACATTATACATTACATAAGCACCTTCTTACAAGTAGGTTCATATGTAGTTCTCAGATATATCTAAAGTTGCTTTGGGATTTGAAGGTGTAGGATTTATTATATTCCCTAACATAATTCAGAGCTCACTCCACATTAGGCACTGGGGTACAGAAAGAAAATCTGCGAATCGATGGATTGAAAAGAAGGTAGGTAGTGAGTTCTTAATCACTAGAGGTATACATATAAGAAAGATAGCTAGTGTGCATTTAACACTTAGTATATGCCAATCAGCATTCTCATTCACGTAATCCTCATGATAACTTTATGAGTTGAGTGGCTACTATCACTATCCCCATTTGTGGAAGAGATTATAGAAGCACCACGGACAAGTCAAGACACTTGTCCAGGATTACACAGCTAGTAAGTGAATTTAGACAGAGGAAGGCTGGCTCCATAGTCAACCTTCTTAATCAGTACTATGCAATGACACCACTCCAGAGTAATTTATATGGCTCCCAATATTCAAGTTACAACTTTGGTTGTATTTCTTCATTTTTAATCACCACAATAGCAGGAAGTCCAGCATTTCCCTCCTGGAGAATCTTTCTTTCCCAGAAACTGTTTATATCCTTGTTAGGGAAGAGTTTCATACTTACAAACATAAGCAGGATACAAGAACCACTGCTGCTTCTAGTAGTCACATGGAATTGCTACTTAACATGCACCTGAGATGAAAAAATATAGTTGGTCACCTCTATTTTCTATTTTATACTTGGCTATCACAAAGTCCCTGCACAGACCACCACAGCATTTTCTAATAGAGAGTGATGTGACTCCTTCAGTGAAACTTAGCCAAGAGTGTACTCCCTTAGACAACCTAAGGCTCAAAGATTGTACTCTCATGCTCTCTCATGCCTTAGTCTAAAGCCACCATCATCAATTTCAACCTGTCCTTCTGTAGAAATAACTAATTCAAGGGATCTCATTCCCTCCCTGGGCCTTGGCCAAGAACCAAAAGGGAGCCCCCCATGGAAGGTGCAATTTTCACAGCCAATCTTGATTGCTACATGCCTCAGACAGTGTGAGCAACTTCCATACCAAGACTGATGCTGGACATTAAAGATTCATCATGGGCCATAAACTCAAGCAACTATTTCTTATGGCGCTCAAAAAAATAAACAGGTATCCTGTCAATGCTCCAGGATAACCTGTCTGTGCTGGAGAAGCAGTGCATATAGCAGGTGGGCCTCCAGCACGGGGCTCTCATAGAGAGGTTCCAAGTGTAATTTTGATCCACCAACTTGAAGCATCAACCTAGAGTTAGAAGCAAATCCTCTATACTGAAGTCTGTGCTAATTTCCACATTGGGCATAGGACAAGGCAAAAAAAAAAAAAAAAAAAAAAAGAAAAAAAAAAAAA